TGTGGGGTCGTAGTGGGTCGTTGTGCGGTCGTTGTGGGTCGTTGTGGGTCGTAGTGGGTCGTAGTGGGGTCGTAGTGCGGTCGTTAAGGGTTGTTGTGGATCGTTGTGGGGTCGTTGTGGGTCATTGTGGGGTCGTTGTGGGTCGTTGTGGGTCGTAGTGGGGTGTAGTGCGGTCGTTGTGGGTCGTTGTGGATCGTAGTGCGGTCGTTGTGCGTCGCTGAGGGTCGTTGTGGGTCGTTGTGGGTCGTTGTGGATCATTGTGGGGTCGTTGTGGGTCGTAGTGCGGTCGTTGTGGATCGTAGTGGGGTCGTAGTGGGTCGTTGTGGGTCGTTGTGGATCGTTGTGGGTCGCAGTGAGGTCGTTGTGTGTCGTCGTGCGGTCGTTGTGGATCATTGTGGGGTCGTTGTGGGTCGTTGTGGATCGTTGTGGGTCGTTGTGGGTCGTTGTGGATCGTTGTGGGTCGTTGTGGGTCGTTCCATGTTTTAGTAACTACGACATAATAAAACACTCCTGCTCGTTTATTAAACAGTACGTAACAATGTATTTGATGTCTGCAGTATAGAAATCTACTAATCCAGGCGTTAATGCTTGAATTAATCGGAAAAATCTGTATACGTAAATGTATACGACATTTGGGACTCGCATTAGAAACTTTATCTTGTCATAAATCTAAGATGTATAACTTTATTGGTTTGGATTTAGGTCTAACATGTATAATTGTAAATTTATATTGTTTTCCTTATGCATATTAGCCCGCGTGCAGGCCCAAGGGAACTGATATCAGTTCCCTTGGGCCTGCACGCGGGCTATATGCATATTGGTGTTATTTTAGTTTGACTGTTTCTTTAAGATAATCGCCACAGCTTTGTAGAAAGCACGTTTTAGTTAATGATTTATTCATTTTTAAAATCCTGGTGTCGCAGAAAATTTTCGGGCAACAAATCTCAGCCTCCCAATTAAAATTGGTCCCGTACGCCTATGATACTCGCATTGTAACGAGTAAGATTGAATTAATCATTATATACGTACAGTGAAATTGATTAACGCCGGTATACCTTCACTCACAATTAGCAGTTCTGTCAAACTGTCACTCGTTACAATTTTCTGGCATACGTCAGATCAATAATTGACCTATATATACTATATGGGGAGTGTTAAAACCGATGATGCATTAAGATGGTTATATTTTCCATGACTGCACGCCATATATCATCGTTCGTTCCACATTTGAATCAATTAAATCATTCCAGCTCATGCACTAATAGTATGCTCACAATGTAGGTCTGGTATGCAATTGCAATTTTATTGAGCTCAGTGGAATCAAGTAAGTATATAAAACCCTACTGATCGTTAATTGGGTAGTGCATATAAAAAACCTTTCCGTTTTCAATTTCACGAACTGTCGGAACAGAACGGTATACGAAGCAACTGCATGTAATGGACCATTCAGTGTTATTGGCTGGAACATTCTGAAATGTGTTATTGACTTTTTTGACTAAACGAGTTCTCCTGAGCTCCTTGGCGAATTTGCTTCGGTCATTTTTTCATATGATTTCTTTATTGACACACTATATGACAGGTATACTGTTACTATACGTCAATGAAATTGCAGGACAGCTCATGTACAGTGGATGTCTATATTATAACGCGTCATATACCTTTATATACTTGGCAT